TTTTTTTTCATAAACTATAAGAACTAAACAGCTAAAAACTTCAACTAAATCAGAGAGAAAAGAGTCATCTGTGTTTGTTTTTTTTTTTTAGCATTATTGCAGATTTTACTGTAATTTCTAAGTCATTTGTGATTTCTGTCAGAGAAAAATGTCAAAATCCTTTATAATCTAAAAAAATCTTTTTTTCCTGAGTCCATCTGAGTAAAACCTTTTATATAACATTTTGATAAAAGACAACATATATTTTTATATTATTAATATCTTTTATAGGGAAGTTGTTCCCATTTTAAACAAACAACAGTTTATTTGTATGTTTTGCTTTAAAATGAGGAAAAACATAAAACATTTCACTAAGATTAAGCATGGATTTTTTTCTATAGGATGTTGCTGTGACTGTTTCAAGCTAATGAGAAGAAAACTAAATCTAAACACCTATCATTGCTTATTTTCATGTTACTCTGTCGTGAAAATGCAATCAAATATATATTACTGTGATTTTAGGATTTGATTTAGCTCTTTATCCTGACGGCCATAGGCAGGTGTCTGTTAAGATAAGAGGATTTTAGACTCCGTATAAAAAAAACAGTCAAATAAAATTAAAATATACTGAAACTTTATGTAGATTTTGTCACACTGTAACCTCAAGCTTCTTTGGATTTTTTATTTTTTTATTGTTTGGTATACATAAAGTGGCAAATTGTCATAAAGTAAAAAGAGAATAGTTCACGATTTTTAACATTCCTCACAAATAAAAAATAAAAACATGATTAATTCATTTGTATTAGACAACATTCAGATGCCTTGAAAAGAAATCTATCTCCAGAGACTGCCTTCAGGGGACAACTCTTTTGTTAACTCACTTAATTACTGTTATCTTTCATTCTACCGTGTTATAGATGAGCTGTTATGCATATACAATAAGTAGTAAAAGTTTAAACGAAGATTTAATGTGTATATTTAGACCCCAATCACATTTTTCAATTTAAATGCAAATCAAATCTTTGTTCTTAGGCTTCAGTTTCATTCAGATTTTTTTAATTGCAACTTGCAGTAAACAAACATTTCACAGTCCTGATTTAAAGTAGTAGGCAAGTTTTACACAACTTAGGTTTACGGGAAATTAATTCCAGAGCCCAGGAGCCTAGAAAACTTGTTAAAGTCCCCTCGATTTCTAAGTAAACAGACAAGGGAGACCTAAAGTGTGTAGTTTGTGTACAGCAAGCAACACAGACATGTGTTTCTATACCACGCCACACTGAAAAAGATCATGCAACTGCTTTTGGCATTTACTTAATCATATTTAGTTACTTTAACATAATTATTTTATGTCCTACCCTGCTAACATGAAATAATTGTGTTAAAGTAACTAAATATGATTAAGTAAATGCCAAGGACGGTTGCATTATTCTTTTTTTTTGTGCATTTGGTGCTTTATTAACATAAAGTTTTACAAATCAAACCTTTGCAAACAAGTCAAGCTTCCCATCTCTTTATTAGCAAAGCTGAAAAACTCCAGAGGAATTGCAGTTGCAGCAAGTTGGTTGTCAAAATCAGTGTGACTTTAAAAATTGAGAAATTAAATAATTTTTAATTATTTTATCTTTAAAAAATACAATTGATAAAAAAAAAGGAAAGCAAGTTTTGCACCGAATCCGATACTCTGATAGGCTCCTGTATTGACTGCTGGATCAGATATAGGTTGTTCAACAGAAATCTAAGATTCTGTTCAAGTCATTTCTATTATTATTAACATTATCCACAGAAATACTGACACTGTGCTCAATTTTATGATTGCAACACTGATTACATCATCACACAGAACACACACAAAGCAACTAGTGATGATTTATACCTGTGCTAATTTGTTACCTGTTTTTTAACAATGAATATATAGTGCATGTGATGGAGTGGTGATAGTGGTTAGAGTATAGAGCTTGGAATCCTGAGGTTCTGAGTTCGAGCCCCACTCCTACAGACTGCCACTCTGGCTCCCTGAGCAAAGACCCTTATCCCCACACTGCACCCCAGGCGCCCCACGATGGCAGCCCACTGCTCCCCAAGGGGATGGGTTAAATTTCTCCAATGTTAGATCAATAAAGTTCAATTATATTATTATAATGCCTGTTATCACATGCCCTGGTACATGGTTAATTCATATTGGATATCAGCCGATACACACAGCCCTTGTATCCATATCGGATTTGATCAGAAAAAAAAATGTATAGGTTTTAAGGGATTTATTTCTTTTGCAAAGTGGTGTAGGGATTTTCCTACATCCAACGATGCATCGTTTTATACTCAGATCACACAGAATCATCTTAATTCATCAATAGTTTTTAGTTGTCATTTGACAGCATGCAATTAAAGTCCATGGGGTCTAAAGACATTTGCACTGTGCCTCAATTTTATTACAGGGACTGTTGGCATGTTGGTTAGAGCAGTGAGCTTGTGCTCCGAGAAAGTTGCAAATACCTGGTTCAAAGGTTGCAAGCAGTACTCAAGTTGAGGGGGGATGGCATCCCCCTTCTTAAAAAATATTAAAAATCATCCCCCTTCTTAAAGGACCATCCCCTGTGACATTTTATTACTGAATGTGTACAATTCCTACTATATATTAACAGTAATAGCAATAATATTGCCCTTTCAACATTTGGCGGCCTGTGGGCTAACGAGTAGCCTGAGCAACATTAATAAAATCAAAGAAGTGGCCTATCATGACTATGAAGCTGATCACAGTGGGAAAATTTGTCCTCTGCATTAATCCCTAACTAGGTCAAAGTCAATGACAAGCGTACCTGACATGTAACAACCACACCATGCATATTGCTTTAGGTTAATAGACTATATTCATTAGGCTATGTATTCCTTAAAAAATAAAAATTCTTCTTCTTTTTTTTTAACAAATAGACTACTGGTTGCAAGTACCTGGTAACCCCCCATTGCGCCGCACAATGGCAGCCCACTGCTCCCCAAGAGGATGGCTTAAATGCAGAGGTAAATTTCTCCATAGATCGATAAAGTTCAAAGTTAATTTGATTAATTGCTTATAAAGTTGGAGCAGACCCAACGCTGCATGTCCAAATTCCTCCAGCAGATGGCAGCAGCAACCAACAATCTGAGCTCTGATTCTAGTGATGACCATGGCAGCATTCTAATCAGAGCAGCTGACCTTTTCTGTTATTGTTGTATCTGGGAGACTTTCCTCTCCCAGATACAGACATAATTTCTGGAACAATGAGTAACTAAACCTTCAGCTTTCTCTGAAACAATAGGTTTCTGTGTTTGTCTCCTTTATTGTTTTTTGCATATGTCACATTAATTAAAATGAGGCCATAAATGCTCTTATTTTTCAGAAAATATAATTTATGCTATAGTCTTTCAAGTTGTTATTAATTTATTTTAGTTTGTAAAAATTCCCATTTGGCTTTTAGTTGTGCTTCTGTCGTTCCCAGATGAGCAGGGGTGGAGCTAGATGGGGGCCCAGGGGTGGCCAATCATTGGTCACCCCTGGGCCACCCCTACCATTTATTCCCCTCCAATAGATCTACCATCTAGCAGCAGTAATTTTCTCAAGTGGAATATTCAAAACATTTAAATTTTTCATATATTAACAATTACTTGACAACAAAAACACAATCGTTAATTATGCACTTCAATATACTGACATTAAAGATGATAAGTAGAGAATTCAGGCTCTTTTTAGAACTAGATTTTGTGTTATATAGGGTAAAGAGAAAATCATGTCTCTGCAAGTCATCTAGGAGTCTTCAGTAAAATAATAAATAACTAGATTAATAAAAATTTATTAAAAAATTTATTTATGTAGGTGTTTGTACTTGTAAATATCAATTTTATGCAGAATGATTACTGATAAAAGTAGGTAAGTAATGACGATGGAAAAGATGTTCGCCCAAAACTCAAACCCGAAAGAATTTTATCTACTATACCTTTTAAATACAGTGTAATCCGCTTATCGTGGTCATGTTGGTCCAGAGCCAATTTGAACACTATAACCGGTTGATTACTATATCCGAATTTACCGTTATTTCACTTATTTTTTATGCAGAATAGCATCTAAAATAATAAAAATGAAATGAAATGGATAGCTACTGCATTTACTGAATTTTATTACAGTACCATGCAAGTTTAATTCCAGTATACTACGCTGTGCGCAGACATAACTCTGGAAGCCTGGTGCCGCCGGTGCGTTTTTGTGTGTCTGAAGTTTGAAATAAACAATTTCATTGAACAACAGCATAGAAGATAACTGCATAGGCTACAGAAAATTAAAGCTAGCCTATGTCTGTTTTGTGCGGATCTGCTGCGCTGCATTAAGAAATCACTTAACATATTTATCCATGGTTCCCTGGATCAGAGTGTTGTCCAACACAGAGTTCACTTCTTTTTCAAAACGATGTAAAAGGTCAAAGTTTTTTAAACCAACATGCAGGAGACCAGTCTGCAAACTGCATTCCTCATCCCCCTCTTCCTCCTCGCTGCATGCAGCACTGGTACCCACACCAAAATGCTCTTGTACCTCCGTGATGATGTCCTCATCCGTCACAGGCTCTGACACCGGAGTGCTGGCATCACTTTCGATCCACCTAATAATTAATTATTTGCACATGTTTACATTCATAAAATGGGCAAAAATGAACACTATAAGCAGATTTCTTGATTACTATAAACAAATTATTTAAACAGCACTTGTTTAGAAATAACTCTGTCCCAAGCCTTTTAAACACTATAAGCGGTTGTTTACTATATCCGTGACCACTATAAGCAGATTCCACTTTATTTGTTTATTTGTTTGCAAAGGCTGTGGGAAAGTATAGTTTGTCTTTATTTAGAAAATATGGATGTTGTGCTTGTAATTTTCCTGTTGGAACAGTGCAGATTGACCCTGGGCTTCTGGTGCCTATCTGCTTTCGGCCGCCCTTCTAAGAATCTTGTGGCTGCGCCCCTGCTCAGAGGAACCCGGTGCCCCCTCTCTGAGTGACGTTCCCCCAAGATGGAGGTCTGCAGATGGCACGGCTAACGCTCACCAGTCCCCGCAGCCTTCCGTGCGGCTTCCATGACGCTATTTTTTCCAGGACGGGAGAGACCGTGTGCCATCTTTTTTTGTCGTTTTTTTTTTTTTTTTTTTTTTTTTTGTGGAGCTGTTATCCAGAGGAGGTTAGCAGTTAGCTCCCGGATCTGGTCGAAGCAACCATGAGCTCCGGGGAAGGAGCGGAGGAAACCACGATGGACGCCGGGGACATAGAGGTGTTCTTAAAGAGCGGTAAGCCCAGAATGAGTGAAGCAGTGAGGGGGAATGTTTGGTCCACACACGGGATGGACATTGTCCCCCATCCGTGTTGTCAGTTAGAAGCTCTCCTGTAGAAATTAGACTCTCTGTAACTAGCACACATTAGCTTTATTATCACAGAGTTAATAACAAAGGGCAATTCTCCTGTTTACATCTCTAAAACGTTCCTGAATTATTATTTTTTTTAACCCTGAAATATAGCTCAGCGTTTGCTATATAGCTAACTTTCTAAGTTAGCTTAAAACTGTGAGTTTGTAGTTGTTAGCTTATTACCGTAAAAAACCGTAAAACTTAAAAGAGAGCACTTAAAAGTTAAATAATAAAAAAAAAACTGTAGTCTTTAGACTCTGTCTGAAATGTTTGTTTTTAAAGCTACTCAGGATTAGCCTAGTTTTTAATAAGTGATGTATTATCTTTTACTCATGAGCTGGTTGAATATTTATTCTACAAACATGTCTGATATTGAAGTTCTTGTTTAATCTGTAAAGATTGAAGGATTGGCTTTTTCAGTTTTAGCCGAGAAGCTAATGACAACTGGTACAGATTTGATGGATCCTGTCTGCTGGGCTACAGCTTGCTAGCTAGTTTAAGCCCAGCTAGCTTTGGGTTTGGAGCGGACCAGCCTGTTTTATGTCATGTTTTTGTGTGCGTTCAGAGGAAATGTAGATAATGCGTGTCCGTTAAGGACAATGCAGTCTGCTGGTGTTGCTGTTTGTTGTTTCCCATGCTGTCAAAGCGAACACAGGCTATGTAAACAATACATGGCGTGGCACATAGAAGCTGGGTGTGCACCTAACAGCCAAAGCTAGCTTTGTCAAATAGCTTCCGAAGCTTAGCTCTGCATTTCCCTCCCTACGTCAGCTTCTGTCTTATTGTAATAAAACGACTATAGTAGCATGCACTTAACGTTTATTTTTACGTACTGTGTAATAAAATGCTAATATGCTAATAGATAGGTATGCTAGGTGGTGGGAGCCAGATGTGGGCCTGTAGTCTGTGCACTGGCTGCAACAATGGCTCATAAAATGGGAATTCCTCTACTCCTTATGGAGATTTCTGCGGTCCTATAAACACAGGTTATGATTTGAAATGTAGGTTATATCTTTATTTAACGCAGCATAGAGAAAACTGTGAGCTGGGCGTTTGCTTGACACTTCTAAAGGTTTAAAGAAACTATAAAGGAAGGTTAGCTTAGTTTGGTGAATTAAAGCAAATCTATTCATGAGAAAGAGCATTTATATTGACTTTGACAGACTTTATTGTCATTTTGGACACACAGAGTTTATACAAAAGCAATTACATTCAGTACAGCTCTCAAGACATTTTCATTTTTTTTAAGTGCTGCATTGATAAATGTAAACATAGGACTGTATATGAGTTACAGTTTCCAACATTTATACAACTTTATACACTACTCAGCAGTCTAATTAGCCTAGTAAACTAGCCCCACCTGCCAGCGGCCAAAACCATTTTTGCCTGCGAGTGGTCCAGCTTCGATCAATGCTCCAGGCCCTAGAACCGGCGGGCCAATCACAATCCAGAGATGTCTTCTGAATTTCTGGATGCAAAGCGGGCAGGGTTTTGAGGGTGTGACGACAAAGCTGAGCGACGCTGGAGAAAGCACAACAAGGAAGATGGCAACAACTATTGAACAGTTGTCGTTTGACTCAGCTTTGGAATCAGTTTTGGAACAATTAGACTTGAGGTTTTTGTTAAAACGTGAGCAGGAAGAGGCTCTACGTTCATTCATTTTTAAGGACGTATTCAATCTGCTGGACCTGCATCGGATGCTTCGAAGCCTCCTCCCAGAGGACAGCAGGGGGAACAGTCCATGGTGGGGGTGTGAGGGGTCATTGATGTTATGGGCTCAGGACACGCAGCGCTGGGATGAAATGTCTTTAATGGAGGGAAGAGGAGACCTGATGATCTTCTCTGCTGTTCTCACCACTCTTCTCAGCTTCTTCCAGTCTGAGGCGCTGCAGCCTGCACACCGCACAGTGAGACAGCTGGTCAGAACGCTCTCTATGATGCTTCTGTAGAAGGTGGTGACGATGGGTGGCAGCAGGTGCCCTACTTGACCAGTGTTGCGCAGATGCCAATTTTTCGCCCCGATACCTGGCTTTGCAGTATTTGCCAATATCGATACCATAGCTATACCATCTATTTGAAATTAATGTGTGTGTGTATATATGAAGAGCTGCATACTACTTGGATGTAAAATAATTGCCATCATGGCTTTGTCAAGCTGCTGCCTACCTTTGTGAAGCAGGAAAAAGACAAATACAAAGTCAATCCAGTAGAACTTTTTATTGCCTACCTGGAATGGCTGACAATAGTTGAATAGACTTTTGGCTCTCAAAATGGTCTCGGTGCCCTATTTATTGGTACTTGCTGATATCAATACCACCATTTTAGTGCTGGATCGGGGTCCCATCCGATACTGGTATCGGCATCGGTGTAAGACTAGCATTTACTATTTGTTTAGGTTTTGAAGTAAGACCGCAATAGGGTTCTTAAAGTTGTTATTGTGGAGAAATACAGGTGTCTCAGTCAAAGCAAAAATGTCTAAATTACCGTAAGTTTATTTGGACATTAAAAAACAAAGTCACATTGTGTTTACATTGGGGCTGAAACAGTGATTAAGATTAATCGTGATTAATTGATTTTTAAAATAATCGTCAATAAGAACATCAAGATGCTGCAGAAATGGCTGATAAATCATGCGAGGTAGAAAATCGCTACATCAGAGCTAGGGCTGAAACAATGAAATTAATCGTGATTAAGCGATTATTGAAATAATTGTCAACTAATTTTTTAGTAATTGATTTATTGTTAACTGTAGTATAGAGACTAAAAGATATCTTTAGCTGACAGATGAATTCACCTAGAGCAATAATTATTCCAAAATTGTAACAAAAATATGTAAGCCTTTAAGCGTTTGCATTTAAGATAAAAAAAAAGGTTTTCATCTGTCAGTATGCTGATCGACAGATGAATCCATTTGCAAACTAATTGTTAGATGCAGCTTAAGTTTATATGGACAGTTTTGTTACTGAAAGGCTGAAAAAGGATATTATGAATTTGCTTTCTACAAAATTAAGCAGACCTTCATTCACTGGAGTATAGAGATTCTAAAAAGTGCCATTAGTTGAAAGAGCAACCCACTTAGAACAGTAATTATACCAAAATTGTAAAAAAAAAAGATATGTAAACATTTTTCATTTAAGTTAAAAAAAACTTTTTCATTTGTCAATACACTCTATCCAGAAACTGATCCGATTATTAATCTTTTCATCTCAAAAATAATAGACAGATGAATTGATTTGCAAAATAATCATTAGTTGCAGCCCTACTTATCAAATGTAATTTAAAATTTGAGTAACTTAAAGGCTTCAGCTTGAGAAAGCTCTTTTAATTGAATTAATAGTTATTTAATTCAGCCAAAAGGTCACATTTGTTACTGGAGGAAATATTTGCACTATTAAAAACAGGCTACCTAAAGGGCACCAGGCATTCACTTCTTTTCAGTGTAGACATAGTTTATTTCTCAATCAAGATATTTTATTTCATTTAAAATATGGAAATTGAGAAGTCGTCTTTGTGTTTTAAATCAGATGATTTTTTTTTTTTTTCCTGAAACCCAGGTACTTATATAAACAAACAAACAAACAAACATCTGTATTGTTGATCTTCCACTTCTCGATCCAGCATAGATCCTCTATGGCCAGTGAGGCACAGTAAGACTATGGTCACTAAACCAGCTATCAGTACCTTTGGTGAAATGTGCTGCTGAAAAATAAAACCATAAAACTTGTCTGCAGGACATTAGTCGTGTTTCCATCCAACTGAAATGCAAACTTATAAAAGTAAAAAAAAAAAAAAGGAAATGCAAATGTGTTGTGTTTCCATTTGGTTTAAAGCAAATTAACCGAGCAACGCAAAGAGTAACGTCGCCATACATCATGGTCCATTACATTTTCACTCATTGTTGTAATAAACAGGCAGCATTTCAGCACTGACCACAGATCAGTGATTGAGGAAAGTTTTAATGAATGTCGCTGTCTGGTAGGGTGTTTTTACCTGAACATGTCAGCTCATAATGATGATGCTGCTTCCTGCTTAGTTTATGCGCATAATAGGAACATCATGGAAGATGCAGACAACAGAAACAGCTGATCAGTCATGTGAGGTAAAAGTTTGCTACATCAGAGCTAGGGCTGAGGCCATTAATTAAATTAATTGACCATTGATATAATCGTCAACTAATTCTGTAATTGATTGATTGTTAAATGTAGTATAGAGATTGTAAAAGATGCCTTTAGCTGACAGAGGTACCCACCTAGAGGAGTAATTATACCAAAAAAAATAAAAAAACATGTAAACATTTAGCAAGTTTTAGTTTGTCAATATGTTCCATGTATAACTCATCAAATGGAGAAGTTTTAGTTTCACTTGGTTTAGTTTAACAAAAAGACTATCCCATTATTAATCGAAAAAGTAATCAACAGATTAATTGATTTGCAAAATAATCGTTAGTTATAGCCCTAATCCAAGTGTCTGAAGAATTACTTTATTTTATTTTATTTGCAAATTTAAGCAAGCTTTTTTCAATTCTTTTTTTTTTTTTTATATTTCATAACTTCCATCACACTTTTTTGATGCAATACTTCAAATATTGGTCAAAGTTGATGGAAAACGCACCTATAGTTTGGAGTGCTCTAGATGAATGGTATGTTTTTTAGTTGGCTTTGGAAAATTCAGATTCAAATTCATTAAAAAATGGATCCTCTATTCTTCTCCCAGGCTTTATGACCATAAATTAAGAAACCTGCAAACTTTTTTAGGAACAAAAAAGTTTAGAAGAGGCACCAGTTCAGTTCTGCTTCTCATTAGCCTTATGTGTGACGCTGCTAGTGTTTCTGGTTCAGGATCGGAGTCGTCAGTGGGTTGAGGCCCTTATGCTATGAGCAGCA